TTCGAACACACCCAGGGATTTAACTTGGTAGAAATCAAGGGAATACGATGATACGAAAAGTGCACGTGTTCGAATAACATTTAAACAGAAGATCTTCGACTTTCGTACACAAAGATAACACCTTGACAATTTCTAAATACATTTTCGTAGTTTAAATTCGAAGTTTTGTACATTTTCAGCTGCCTAAAAATTTGGAGCTATCATGATATTGATATTTTTGCGTTTTATTATCGGTAACATAAAAAAAAATTTCTTAAAATGGAGTTTGTTTTCTTTTTATTTAATGTTCTTGATAATGTTTCATATACATATTCACTGTAAAAGCACACAGCCAAACTCTACTCTTTCTTTTCAACTATCAATTATTTTGCTTGTAATAACTTATTACGTCAATAGTTACGTTTATTTTTCATCAAAACCAGACTTGGAAATAACTGGTTTCTTACATAATTAGAAAGTAACTATTCCAAACACAGGTCTACTTGTCACTGGTGGAAATATAGGCCTATATTTATCCGAAACACTTGCAAAACATTTAGCTGAGAAAAATCAGAGTCCAAATACGAGCCAGGCGTATTTTTAGGTAGGTTCAGATAAAATTTATATATTAAGGAAATAAGTGAAAATATGTCAAATATCTGAATGTTACACCATTTAGAAAAGTATTCGACGTTCCGTTTCTAGGAAATAATTTTAATATTTACAACGAGCAACTATTTATTGTGACATGGTGACAATCCAGGCTGAAATTCTTAATCATATTTTTAATTAATTATTTTTTTAAATATATCCTTTCCACCCGTAATTAGTCCTGTACTGTCTTGTCCCTCTACTTCGTAGAGATGATTAGCACGATTCCATTGCTAACGGAATCGTGGCAATTATCTATCAAACTCTTTTTGGGGGAAATTTTTGAATTAAAATAATACGACTTCCGGTATGAATCAAAAGTTTGTATATAATTAATCGATGCCTCTGCCCTTAAGGATTTTAAGCCAGGTCTTAAAAACCTTATCTTTCATGCTTCTAACACCGTTCTCCAGGTTAAGAAAGGACAGACGGACGGACAGACGACAGGACGACAGTGGGAATTTACGTATAGAATAGATATAGCCTATATATGACATATATATACAGGGTGTATCAGTACAGCGGTTACAAACTTTCAACAGAGATAGAGTACACATATACGATGGGAAATCACATTGCAATGCATGGTCGGAAACGCTTTCTTGGAACTTATTGCACGCATGGTGGAAGCTGCTGGGGAAGTCCGGGACACGCTCGGTATTTTCGACAATGTGAAAGCGTGCTATGTGATTTCCCATCGTCCAGATGTATTCTATCTCTCCTAAAAGTTTGTAACCGCTGTACTAATACACCGTGTATATACGTAATAGGTCTACAGTTTTTTAAATTGAAGCCCAATTAATAAAATTATTTTACGTTTAATTGCAATTACGGTAAACTTGAGGAAATGAATTTAAAATTCGCATTTGACACATAAATGTGCGATGCACGAACATCCGACGTGTGATTGATAAATTTAAAAAAATAATTAACAGAGAAAACAAGGAAAATAGAATTTTATTCATACTTTATCGTGAGCCATTATTATTTATTACCGAATTAAGTCTGTTCTGCGTAGAACTAATAATTTGTTTACGTATGTTTCTGGACGTATTTTGTGTTTCTGACGACAGTTGTCCGTTTACAATAAGTAACAATCGAAAAATTTATTTCGGTCATGGAGCCAATTGTAATTAATTAATTAATATTGTTGTTACGATAAGGTGTTTTTATTGATTTATTTGATTAAAGTTTTTATCATAATTTTAAAACACTTGTTTCTTTAAATGGCAATTAAATAAAATAATATATGTAATTTTTTATGATATATATTATTAAAATACTTCTCAAAGGCAATTACATGCTATTATTACCTTTGTCTTTGTCTTTTTCTAACATATCAGCTGTTTTAATTTATAAAAGATTAAGTTTCTACCTTTTTTCCGTTATTACTCGTCACCCTCCGGCCTTTTGTATCTGTAATCTAACAAAAATGCCTCCAGCCTTAACGCCAATTAAAATAATATTTAAATACTGATTGGACAATCGAAATAGTCAATACCATATAAAAATGAAAATAAAATTTTGTGAAAAAAGTTAATAAAAACTCATCGGTAATTGTTAAAAATTAACGACTCGAGTTAATTAAATTATATTATATCCGAATTAAAATAATTAAGAATGTAGAGAAATCTCTGTCAAGTTGCGTAAATAAAAACCTGTTGTTAAAATTATTTTAGAAATTTGAAAACCTGCTTTAAGGCAAATAAATATCCCATTGATTTATTAATTTATTACTGATGTATTTTCGTCCAGGACGCACAATAATGACATTGAAAAAAAATTAAAACACGAAATAATTAAAGTATTAATCTCTAAATGTAAATAGTCAAGATCGTCTTCCGTTTTTTCGTTTTCGTTTTTTTCAGTTTCTCTTTATCCTTGTCGCCACCATTGTGAATTTATTTTCTGTTTTTGTTCATTCTCGTCAGGTTTTCATTGCATTGAATTCCGATGAACGAAGCTACTATTGTAGTTAGTTTCAAGAAAACAATACCTACCAGAAAAATAGTAAGTTATAGATAATATTATACTTGATATAATGTTTCCAAATAGTACTTGGATGCTATATTTGACTTTAATGAAACGTTAAAAAATTTAAAGATATTTACTGATAGGTTTAGATTACCGATAAATTTAGATATTTAGTATCTATGAGTAGAAATAAGCGAAACTAATTTGGTTTAATTATTCTGCGATTAAAGTACAAAAAAGATATTTTAGATCCGTCTTTAAAGTTGAGTGAGTGGCGGAGACTCCTCGGTGGCAAAGAAATTTGTGGAAAAAAGGCTATTGCCTATATGTTACATATATATTAAAGCTTTATTAGACACTTGGTGAGTTAGTTTTCGGAGACTGTAATAAAACGGGAAATGTAAATGAGGCGAATATGATGCTTGCTATGTAAACTAATGTAAACAACTGATAACAATTTGGCAACGGAGAATTATAAGCTTTGAATGTTGTATGAAGTCGTGGGTGTGGCCTGTGAGGGACCGGAACTCGTTCGACCTGCTTGGAATAAACAGAAAACCTATTTCAAAAACAGCAATTTATAAAATATATAAAATCTTAATTACAAACAACTTTAATTTAAATACTTTATTTATATAATTTGTAATTAATAATTACTTTTTAGTTTTGTTAATCTTACGTGATATAATATAGCCTTACATGTTCTTACGTTTATCTTGGTATAAATTAATTAATAAAATATTTTTGTTTTATTCGTTGTTCGTTTGTATTATTAAGAGCCTTAAAAATGGCAGAGTACCAAGAGTTAACCTTTTCTAAGAAATATCGTTTCACCTTTAAATAATATCATAAATATGGAAAGATGATCTAGGTAAGTTACTAAAAATATATAAGTAGGCAAGCAAAATAGTTCCAAACAGGCAAATGACTAAGCAGTAGAACTGAAAATAAACTTTTACAAGACCTCAGTATTAATCGAGCTGAGTGTAGTACCGGACTAAAAGTTATATATAGGGGAGGATCTAGGCTTTTTGGGGCCTAGGGCATTGAAATCCAATGGGGCCCATTTTTGTTAGATTAGAAATTTTTAAATTGGGGTTTAAAATTATTATATTATTAATATTAACTATTTTTACTACACAATAAGTTGTCATTATTAATGAAAAATTATTAAAAATTTATGATAATAATTCAATTTTTGTGGGCCTTTACACTTGGGGGCCCCAGGCCTTAAGTTATTTCACTTTTTATCTGTTTAAAAAATCGAAATATGGAAGATTATTTCACTTTTCTTTTTTGTTTGTGTGTGTGTTTTCTGTAATAGGCTATATGATTGTTGAATCCAGCTTTAGATCGTCTAATCTTGAAGAGACGTGACGAAAATCGTCGTTTTTTAGAAAAACGGCAAGGAGTAGCGGAAAGTCGTCTGATTTATACAAAGAGACTGGTGAATTAGAAATCGGTAAATCTGTTAGATTATGCATGTAACCCGATAGAAGAGTGAATTCATTCAGCCTCGAATGTTTTAGCAGCAATGATATTCATGCCGATACCATTACTCAGATTTCCAGTAGCAGATAAGCGAGTGGAATGGGAAAATGTCGAGCGCAGAGTTGCTATAACAGCAAAATTTGTACGTTTTTAAATCATTAGCAACTGCACTTTTTGCGATGTGGAAAAACAAGACGTTTGCTTCAAACCAGAACACTAAATCGGAAAGAGAATTGTCCTATTTTCGTTAAATTCGTAACCATAATTTTGAATGTTTTTATGTAACAATTGCTAATAAACTGGATATTGAAGTATATACTATATGTATTTATTTCTTAACTCTTTTTGTCCTAACACTAGAGCAGTTATATTTAAAAAATTATTTGTAACTTCTCATTTTTTATCCATTTCCGTCAGTTAAAGATATCACTTTTCTCTTTAAAGATGATTTTCTCCCTTTTGTTTTCTGTGCTGTCAATCTAATTTATAATGAATTTATCAAGAAAATATATTTTACGAAAGCTTCTAAATTTTTATTTATAAAGTCATACATTAACAAAAATTTTTTTAATAATTAAAAGAAAAAAAAACAATTATTATTTGGAAAGGGTAAAATGTTTACATTTTTGAAAAAATAAGGGATTTAAAAAATAAACGATTTTAATGCTTTTAAATAATGTTATTTATTTATTTATTTAAAAAATAAAAATGAATCGTTCAATTTTACGTCGTATTAAACATAAGGTTTTTTTTTTCATTTATTGTATTCAGAAGCGTAATCCTGAAATTTTGATAAAAGACTCAAAAGTTCTTTTTCTGAATTTAATTGCATCCGGAAAGGTCTTAATTCATATTTAATGTGGAGCTAAGTATTAGTTTTATTAGTGTTACCACCCGTCCGCTTTTCACCCAGACAGTCCGGGAATCGACTCACTCTCCGGGTGAACTATTAATTTTGTCCGGGAATATCGTGCGCAACCTGTCTACCGTGTTTTTTTTTTTTTTTTGTTTGTTTTCGCTTGTACGATTCGTATTCGTACACGTGTCCAATATCCGATAGAGCTAAGTCATCTGTAGTTGTTTTTTTTTCAATTTAAATTACTAACGTTACTCCTACGAGTCTCCCTAGTCCCTAACTGTAACTGATTTAGAACCGGCATGCATTGCACTTTATTCTTCGCATTGCAAAATGACATTGCGTAGGCATCAGGAACTTCTGTTCGAACAAACCTCACCCGCCGTTCGGGTCGGCGATTTCGAAAAGGTGGCAACACTAAGTTTTATATACATTTTATATATACTCAGCTTGGTTTCTAGCTTCTGAATCCTAGCCGCGGCACTCTCGGTGAGCAAAAGTAGCTCTGGGCAGAAAATTCTGCTCTGCATCTCAACCAAATATTGACACGTAGTAAGAGGCTCGTTTTCTATGGCCTGTTTCTACAAGTGGATCTGGATATCACTTTTGCATCCTACTCCCCCGCCATCTATTGGAGCTTTCAGAAAATAGAATATAATTTGTTTTCTTTCTTTCTTCCTTCATTTTATTCAATTTGATTTTACCAAAAATTAAGCACAGTTTTGGAAGAGATGCACCAATCTATCAACTTGTATATAATTGGAATGCTTTAAAAGAAGAATATAAAGATTTGTGTACCTACGGACAATTTAAACGGGCTGTAAAAATATTGAGATGTGATTAGTTGAGTGTATTTTTTTGTTTTTTATGTATTTCTCTTCTCTGTTTCTTTTTGTTGTTTTGTTGATTGTTTACTTTGTAAATGTTTGTATCATTACTTTTTCTTTTGACCCTTGAAAAAGGCCAATGGCCATAGGGTCGTGTGATTAAATATTAAATATTAAAATATTAAATTGGATTAAATTGATTGAAGAAGGCAACACAACACATGGGCGTCTGCCAGGTGTTGTCGCCTTAGAGAATTTTTATGAGAAACGCTATTTAATACGTGATCGAAATCCGTATAATTACACTTAGTTATTCAGTTGTTCAGACCCAAACCTCACTGCTATCACTGGTGTTATCCAGTGTGGTTTAGGTATTATAATATACAGTACAATCGAAAAACTTGATACAATATTGCTGTGNTAAGTAACAATGGAAGTGCTAAGTAACAATGGAAGTTTCAACAATGGAAATGCTACGTAACAATGGAATTGTTAAGAGAAAGAGACGTGCAATACGCAGATGCAGTTTTTTTCGTTTTTGAGGGAAATCGAACATATTTTTAGACCCATCTAAAAATTCTCTAATTAGTCTGGAAACAAGGGGACCCAATTCTTGCATTCTGTGAAATCGAACATATTTTTAGACCCATCTAAAAATTCTCTAATTAGTCTGGAAACAAGGGGACCCAATTCTTGCATTCTGTGAAAACGGGTAAGGTTTACTGTAACGTAATAATCTTTATCTTAGTTATCGTTACTTTTGCCCGAGCAACGCCGGGCCCACCTGCTAGTAGGTTATAAAATAAACGTCAAATTAGAAGTTCAAAGACACCCAGCAATAAGTTTCACCGAATATTCACTACATGCAAAAATTACGTGCCAATAAATTTTATGGCGTCCAGTTCAGTTAACGTTGTTTACATTTAAAAGACTGTTATACTAACTAGTGCAGAGATTTTCATAACTTGTAACTTGATTTGGGAAATTTGGATAAGGTATAACGATGTCAAGTTTGATGCTACATTCAAGGTGAACTGTTGGTCAAATCTTTAGCTGTTGATTAAAGCTTTTGACATTATAAACATTTCTGATTTATCAAATTACAGACCTGTAAAGTTTATATAAAAATAATCGGATTACCATTGTTCTATTCTATTATTGTTATTGGGTCTACTTGTTGTAAAAATGATTAAATTCTACATTAATATTTACAATAGAAACATTTGAACAATCTGAAGCGCAGCACTCCTAAATATTTTTACTTTAATGGAAAAAGTCTTGTTTGTTTTGTTATTCTCTTTTTTTAACATTGACATTAGAAGTTCGATTCGGACGACAGAAATTATTGTATATTTACATTGTTGTTACAGATTTTCAATATATTGTTTAGAATCTTATTAATTGCAAAATTTCCCTGTATAGGAAATTTGCAGCCATTCTAAAATGTTTTCAACTTTATTTTTTGAAGAGGAATTAGAAGAATTTGTATTATGATGGCTGGTATTTACATTATTCTCTTGATTATTGGCTGCTAAGAGTGGCACTTCATTAATAGAAAGCATATTTACAGTACACATCTTGTCCTTTCTTCTCAGCAGCATAGCTTACAACTCCGTGTTTGCATAGTATTCTCTGTAATCATATTGCGATAAGGGAGCATGTAAGTCAACGGACACATACTTTGCATGGATTACATCTTAGAAAGCGTGTTACCGAGCGTCCTTCATTTACCTTTTCCACTTTATACATATTTTCTCTTGATACGGAGAGAACGTTTGACTAACATTCTGAAATCACTTATCTCGTATTATTGTTTATGTTCAAATTGTTTGTGACTGGTTTTATTTCTACTAATTCTTTTTGAAGGAACGTTTTTCTTCGTAAGCTTAATCAAGCATTAAAATATTAAATCCCCAGCCAGCTTTAAAAGCTCATCTATTGCTACGTGTAAGCTTTTTTCCCATGCCTACCATATAGGTATTGATATTTTATTTTTTTGTGCAATGGTTCAAGATACGTGTTTTTATTTATTTTCAAGAGATTTTTACCCAATTTTAGGTCTGTCACACTAATTATGTTGAAAAATACCTTCCAAATTCAACTGTATCTTGCATCGTTCATTATGGCTTTGAAAAGCTTGTTAAATTTTTTGTTTCTGTCGTTTCATATGTTATTGTTATTGCTGCTTTTTAACCATTATTCCTTTTCATTGTTTTTAATTTTGCATAAATTTCTTGCCAGTTCCCTGAAACATGCCAAGCACAAGACCAGCAAGACATTGGAAACACGTTACACCACTTTCCAACAGACATTGTAAAATACAGTCATATCATCTTTCATGAATGTTATGAAGCTGAAATGCGATAAATGTATGTTCTTTGCAAAATAGAAAGTTTGTAAAAGAGAGAAAAACACATGATGTATCGCATAAGTNGTTGAAGTAAAATACAAGTTGGGCATCTGCTACGGTACTGATAAGCATATATTGAAGTGTTTGATTGTAAAAATTCTGCCCGAGTATTTGCACTAGAAGACAACGACATTCTCACTAAATTATGATAAATTTTCAAATTATACTATTAAACCTGAAAGCCGTATAAAAATTTCATCGTAAAAATAAAAAATATAATTTGTAATCTCAAAATTGTATATGATTAACAACTAGTATATTGACTTTTATATAATAATAAATTAAAAAAATTATTATAAATATATTTACAGATATCGAGTATGTTTATTGGAATTGCTTATCGATTTCTAACCAAACTATTCCATAAACACGGAACACATGTATCAAGACACACGTCATGGTATATAGTTGTGCCTATCTTCATGACATTGTTATCAGCCACAGGATTACAAAAGTTTTCTCATGATCTGAACGAAGATTCTCTAGTTCCATCCGGAGGAATTGTCGACAAGTACAAATCGTTTCTGATGAGATTATTTTCCGTAGATCTCGCATCAAATTTCGATCCCGCGAGATTATTGTACACCATTCATTACGGAACTGTTATTGTCGAAGCGAGAGACGGAGGCTCGGTTCTACGAGAGTTCGTCTTTCGTGAAATTGTCACTTTGGATCGGGAAATTCAAAATTTCTTTGTTGATGAAGACGACGGATGGAACTACAAAGACATTTGCGCTAGAAACAATGGAAAGTGTTACGAAAATAAAATTCTTCGTATAGACAATAAACTAAAAGCGTTGCAAAACGGAACATTTCGATTGAAATATCCAATTGGCGACACGAGCAGATATTACGACGTTTTAACTTTGGGTGGCGTAAAAATGAACGAAGAAGGATATATAATATCTGCCAAGGCTGTTAAATTGTTCTATTTTCTAGACGATTCGAATAAATGGGCAGAAGAAAGAGCCATAAAATGGGAAAATCAATTCATAAACATCTTAAATAAGGTGAACTTTTCTTATATCAAAATAAGTAAAGACGTGTTGCTTTCTAGAGATGAATCTAAAAAACAACTGTTTCCTGTTACCTTAAAATATATTCCAAGTTCTGTTTTTTTGATGCTTACGTTTACCGTTGTCAGCTGTTTATGGCCAGATTTCCTTCGAAGTAAACCGTGGACCGGAATCATGTCTTCGATAGCCACTGGTATGAGTCTAGTTTCGGGATTCGGTTTATTACAGTATGCAGGAATAAGTGTGTCTCCGGTGGATGCAATGGTTCCATTTCTGGTGTTAGGTAAGTGATTTATGAGTTCGTCTTTTAATCGTATAAACTACTTTTTGTAATTTGAATGATTATGAATATTCATTATAATCAAATTCTGCACACAGCATATTATTAATCGGAACGTTGTAATATTTAAGATGCACAAAATCAACACTTTGTTCAGCAATGTTTTCGTTAAGATAAGTCGTATATGCACATTTCTCAAGCGATGGTAAGCTGAACATGTTAAATATAGTCATACCTTACATCATTTTCATACTAGTTATAGTATGTGTGTAATTGGATCTTAAGATCTTAAGCATAATTAGCTTTTGCTGGAACAAATTACACAGCAATATCTGCAACATTCTGACTGCGTATAACTGTTTGAATTGGGAGAAAATTTAAAAAAACCTCGGAAGTCCAGCACATCTCTATCACCATAAGCGCTGTATTAATAAAATGTAATTATTATGTAATAGATATCATGTCATACTAACAACTATACAGGTATCCCTCGTATAACACGGTAGTTACGTTCGGGAAAAGTCCAAGTTATGCGAATCCGTGATAAACGGAACAAAGGAATAATACAAAACATGGGGTTAAGTTCCGAAAGGTAACAAATGTGTTATTTTTCGTTACTAAGAGAAACATGTTTATGAAAGCAATCGATAATTTATTTCCAATCAATATAATTGTTGATTGGAAATAACAATGGACGTTTATACATCGCTTAAAAACTATAAAAGCCGATTAGTATAAAAGGACTTTGAGCCATGGGCTTTTCTGCAGATATGGGACTGATCTCGCCATGGCGAAATTCTTACTTTTAGCATGTTAATGCACCTGCCATAAAAGCAATATTTTGGCTAAAAGTCAATGTTGAAATTCAAGTTTCTTCATCACCATCCAAATTAGCACATTTATTATTCATCCTCCCATTCTCTATATTTCATTACAACTTTTCTCTGAATGTTTGCCCCCTCTCACTTTACTGCCACTCTAATTTATCAGTTTGCTGAGAAACGTGCAACTTCAAACGAAAGAGGATTCTAGTTCATATTTAGTTGCAATTTCTCGTGATTGAATAATCCTAATAAAGTTAATTGTATCAAATGAAAAACTTTTCAAACTATATTAACTTTTATAAAGGATAAAAGAAAAAGTTCTAGAATTAATTAATGCCATTATAACTAATTGTGTCAATCATTATTTTACTTATATTTATGAAATTTTTAAACATTCATTATCTTTTTTAACATATTTTATAATTATTAAGTAATCATTTACTGTGAGTGATTAATAAGCATTTCCTAAATGCTTATTAATCACTCACAGTATAAAATATAGAAAATTTAAAATTCTCATTTTGCATAGGCCGTATTTTTTACAACTACCTATACTATATACACATAAACTTAAACGAGAAAATTATATATACAGTAGAACCTCGATTATCCGGACCTCTATTATCCGGATTTTCGATTATCCGGATTGTTTAAAATAAAAATTTTACGAATTTGCTGATTTGCATTCGGCGAATTACGACACTGTTTATGTACGTGATGGAATGCATAACTTTTTTTTGTTTCAACAACGTCTCACCCGGCACAGTGGTCGTAAACTCTTAAATATATTTTGCGTCGTAATAAAAATATAATTTGACATACGTATTTATAAAAAATTTTATTTTCAAATTACATCATTTCTATAACCAAGGACGGCGTAATGCATGGGCAACGTGGGCCACCACCTATGCCGC